TTTCGTAAAGTTTCGGAATTGCTGATAGTTTAGATATATGTACCTCTGTAATTTTCAGCATCCGATTTTTTCCCCTTCTTGTGAAGGGGAATAATAAGGGACTCTTTCTAGATAGCGGGAAACGTGGACGTCTCCAGGGAAAGGTTAAAAAATTTTAAAAGGGGTTTGGCCAGGGTAGCAGAGCAGTACCTAAGCACACCGCCCAGTACCCAGTCTGGACCTGGCGAAAAGACTGGCTTCACATTCTGAAGATCCTTTATAACCCCACATTTCGACAAGGTGGGTCGGGAAATTAAGTTAGACCGGGGGATATCATAAGCGTAAGTCTGCGCGTTTATTAACAAAGGTGAATAGGTGGTTTGAAAAAACTGTGCAAAAAGATCGGCAATTTCCTGATCCGTGCTTGCATTAGATTTTCCAAACGATAGCAAAGACGGAAAGGTTTTAGATTTACGCTTAGTGTTAACAAAACTATAGAACTGCTTCGGATCCAGAGCAAACTGGTTCTTACATCGAGCTAAATAGTTCTTATAACACTGAGTGTTATGCACGCTAAAGTTAGACCGAGCCACCATATAATGCACATAACAGTCATTGCTATTAGTTCTTAAGTATTTTTTAAAGAATCTTAATTTGATATTTTTTAGATTAGAAAGGTGCCTTGTATACCAAGGGGGTTTATCCGCCATAGCCGGATACCGCAACGGAATAAAGCGATCAAAAATTAGGTTTATATACTATAAAATATATCTAGATCAGTCGACATATCGGTATATGCGTAAAAATCGGACCAGTCAAATTCTGAAATAAAGTTATTAATTTTTTTAAAGTCGGCTTTACGAAATCATCGAATTTTCTTATTTCCTTAGTACATAGCCCCATATCGATCGTTGGATGATAAGGATATTCAGGGTGTGTGAGAGGTGGAGCTCTGTATACGGCGTCCGTATCAGAGAGAAAGACTCTACCACCATTTCCGAGGGATCGGTCAAGCCTATATATTGTGTAACTACTGGGGAAAACTTTAGAATTAAGAATTTCTGGAGTTAGCCAGGTTTCGGTAAACACAATGACCTGGAATGCAAACGAGAAGCTTACCGAGAACAAATTAGAAAGCTTAGAGCGTAAGCCTCTTGTGTTCTGGTACGAAAGAATAATGGATGATGTTAGTTTTTTATGTTGGCAGGAGCGTTTACTTGTGGCTACTTTTTTCTTCTTTTTATTTTTAGGCTGATGTTCTTGAACGAAAATATGTTGCGGCCAGAAATTGGTCGAACAGATATCGTCAAAAGTCATCGGAGGAACACGGATCTTGAAAGATGCCAAGTTCCTAGCGTAGGAATATTTATACTTAGTGATATTTTCCACCCTAATATCGACTTTAAGCTTTGCTTGAATGTAAGCTAAGATGTCCGATTCGGACGTATCAGGGGAAAGCTGGGAAACAAAAATGTGTTTCTCTAGAGGAATACCAATCAAGGTCTTTGGCGGGGCGGGTGGTTTACCCACGCTACCATTGGGTGCCGGTAAACCGGACCGTAAGTTCCTCTGGTGAGTCAAGGGGGGTCCAATGCGACTACCTCGGACTGCTCATCGGACAAATGCCTACGTATCTTAGCAACATTTTCGGGATCCGAAATATGGGCTGTTACCGGTGTCGTCACGATTGGAGTGGTGGACGGCAGCCGTGACAATGAAGGAGACTGTTGAACATCAGATGGAGGGAAAAGGGAGTTATTTGCATTACTGGCGGTAACCGCCGGCGGCAAACGGGACGTTTTTTTGCGCTTAGGAGACTCATTCAACAGTTGTAAATTGTTGAACTGAGTGTCCAGCGCAGAAAACAGGTCGTTAGCTTTGCGAAAAGCAACCAATACCTGACATTTTTAGTCTGCCGCATAAACGATCTAATTTCCTTCTGGGCCTCACGACATCTGTCACAACAGTAGTGTAAGCCAGAGTCGGAACGACCCAAAGCATCCGGAATGGTGGCTGACTTAAACCCTGCACACTTGGAGTGCGCAATGTTATTACACAGCCAACAGTGGACACTTACTTGGTCAACCGGCACAATTTTATTGAATTTTTTAATGCAACAAATAATATCGGACATTTTGGCAAATAATTAATCAAATGTAAACCACTGTGCCAGAATAATATTATAGGGAAGAAGAAAGGGAGCTTGAGAGAAACAGTTAGGGGCAAGAGAGTGAGCGAGAGAGTGTTAGCGAGAGCTACGAGGCGTTATAAGAGAGTACAAGTTGTAATAAGAGAGGGAGAGAGAGTGTGTTTTCCAGAGCTGAAGCCGGTGGGAGATACAGAAAAGAGATCTACAGATGTTGTGCTGGAGAGGTAAGCGGTGAAAGTTCCGTTACTAATACACAAAGAAAAGTAAAAAATATATTAGAATGCAGACCACAGTTGTTCATATTTGCTTGCAATAAATGCTTTATGCAAACAGATTACAATAAATGCACTGAACGAGACGGAATCGAAAACGGATTTTTCAAGTATATGTATAAACGTTTGCAAAAAGTAGCAAAAACGAGGTGATTCGGGAATAAATTCAAAGATTAAATCGCTCGAGAACACGCAAAAGCCAAAAACACAACCGTTTGCTTTGAAAGAGAAGTGAAGTGTTTATGATGATGATAGGTTTTTATAGATTTCTAATTTGGCTCTAGGCTTACAGTACATATAGAACATATAGATCGATTTTGCTGCGATCTTCAGATTCATCGACCACAGTACGCTTGCGCTTTGAGGGGTCCGCCGATTTGGCTTTACTCCGTCTGGCGGATGCGGCGCGAGTTACTGATCTCCTGTGAGTGGATGTGATCTTTGAATGACAGCTCCTCACGCAGGCTCTAAATGGTATTTTCCAAGTCAACGCTCGACAGTGTCTCCTGCTCTAGAGTCTTGCGCTTGTTGTCTAACTGCTTCAGCAGACTATTCAACTCCCTTGACACATCGTTCAGGACATCAGTGATCTTATTCCGATCGGCATTGGTCGTGTTGAATTGGTTGCTCAGCTCATTGGCTCGCGACTCGTGCATGCGGGCATGCACTGAATCTGCAGTGCTGCACTCCTTGGTTTTCTTGTCCAGTCGGATTTTCAGCTCCTCGTTCTCCTCCCACAGACGCTTGATATCGATCTCGCCATCATCCAAAACACGAAGCCTCTCCAGCAGCTCAGCCACGAAAATGTACTTGATATTGGTCGTCCCGCAGGTGAACGTGGCCCTAGTGGTCTCATCTCGATGCTGAGGCGGGAATTCTCTGTCTCCACATTACGCACCCGGTCAATATAGGTGGCCAGACTATTGTTCAGGTTCTTCAGCTCAAACTTCTCAGCCACGCGAAAGTAGCGGGTGGGGCTCAGGGGGCTGGAGGTTGTCGATGACGCGGCCAAACGAGGCTTTCCTGGGGTGAAATCATCTCCAGAAACTACCCATACAAAGCGCGTCTTCTGCACAAGATGCAGACCGTCTCCTAGTTGGATTTACGCAACTGAGAGCAGATCAAAAAACAGTCTGGCTCCAATCAGCAAATCCACACGCTGCGCTCTGTGGAAGTTGGGATCTGCCAGAACCGCATTGGCAGGAATGGAGACATCTATGTTCAAACCAGGTTGATCAGGCTATCAGCAATAATTCCTGCGAGAGACTCTTTCCACTTCGCCTTTGTGGCAGGGTCGTGCTTTTGAAAAATGATCTGGATGATGAGGCATCTTTGAATTTCGTCCGCCGTCCTGGAACTCACGAGGGCCGGCATATAACCAATGAATCGGTCGGATAACTCCCGAAGAGTTGCAACGGATCCCGGCTTAACTGCCCTTGGCTGCAGAACCTCGTTAATGTGAGCCTGGAATATTAAATTTATTACCAGCAAATAATTTAATTCATTCATTCTTTAAATAATAAGGCAATCTGTTTTTAAGGCATTTTTCTCTTGTTATAATTGTTTAATTTCAAAAATAACAATATATTCCTCCCAATAACTGGCCTCCCCCACGTGTCCTTAAAATAAACAAGAGGAAACGATATAGTCGAGTGCCCGTTACTGTATTACACAATTTTAAAATAATCTTTTTGCTAGTGGAAATTCCCAAAGCGCCACCTATTGTCGGAGAAAGCATGCTGAGTAACTGATAACGACGTCATTGCCCGTTCCCTTTAAGAAATCGTTGGTAAATGGATAAAAACATGTTATAAAAGGTCAAACGAAGACATACACTATAATATTATGGACGCCACAGTTTTCCGCGGTTTGTGGGCGTTAGAGTATGAGTGGCCCGATGAAAAATCGTAGCTAGTTGCAGTGGCATTTCTTAAATACGTATTCTTAAGCAGAACTTTCTAGCTCATAGTTCCCGATATTTTAGCATTTTTGGTTTTTTGGGCTTGGTAGGCGATAGAGGGGGCGTGGCTTGAACGGAAAAAAACTTGGTGGGAGTAAGAGTGGGTGTGCCGGATATTGATACCACTATAAGATGCGCTGGCATCTCAAGATTGTAAATGCTGATTTTCAACTTCCTAGCTCTAAGAATTCCTAAGATTTCAGCGATTTTCAGTTAGAGTGGGCGTGGTAGGATGCTGATGCATCCTACTTGCGATGCGTATGGACCTCAAGAATCTGCATGCTTAATCTCTACTTTGTATCTGTTATAGTTCCTGAGATCTCAGCGTTCATACGGACGGACGGACAGACGGGCATGGCTCTATCGCCTTCGCTATTTAACCTGATCAAGAATATATATACTTTATTGGGTCGGAAACGCTTCCTTCTATCTGTTACATACTTTTCAACAAATCTAGTGTACCCTTTTACTCTACGAGTAACGGGTATAATAACAAATAAGATTAAAGTAAATTTGGTGTTCCCAACCACTCGGCTCTCAGACCAAGTTAAGAGTACAGTAAATTTATTTAAAATTAGTTTTAAAAAAGGCTTTATAGTATAATATCTTTTGAACTAAATTGATTTAATATCTTATTATATGCTTGCTTACACTCTTTGAAATCTTTATTCCAGTTATAGTATTTAATGACGTCTTTAAAAGTACTTCTTCTTCTCGATTTTACGATGTTTTTTCTCTCTAGGAACTCGTTGTTGTGCCAGAGTTGCGTGCTTGCCAGCGATATTTTCCAGAATTTGTTGTCGGTTCCTTTCTAGCCCCACGAACTGTCCCTCCAACTTTTCCACCATCTCGGAAGGCAGACGTGTATATGATTGGACAACAACGTTTCTGGCTGCTAGTTCGGAAAACTGATGTTTCAACTGAGCATTAGTGCCAGTCAGAACGAAATAGCCACTGTTGCCTAAAACCTTAATGAAGGACTCGAGATCGCAGCTTACATTTGGCACCGATTTCTGATCTTTAGGGGTTACTTCAGGCTTTAAGCATTCCGCTCTGAAGATCTGACCAGTTTTGGTAGTTGGTTCGAACTCGATGGAGTCATGGTCAAAACTCTTATCCACATTGACCGTTAACCTAAAATCTGGAGTAATCCTGAGTCCTATGTTCTTCAGTTTTTGAGAATTGTTGTTTGACACGACACACACATTTCCCTTTGGAAGGACTATATCAAATTGTGACTTAATTTGCTTGCAAATTTTCGACACCAATGGCAAAATAGAGTTTGTAGTAGTTCTAACATTATAAGTTTCTGTCGCTTTGTTGGCTGTTATTGAGCCTTGAAAATTGGTTTTAGTATCGTGGTCATACCAGCTAATAGTGTTATTTAGACCCCTTTCCAAGTTCGGAGCACTTGTTTTGATCGCTGATAAGAATGATTTTCGAGTTTTTTGCAGAGCATCACATAGCTGAACGTTCTCGGACCCGTCGTTGGCTGGCATCGAAGACGACATTAGGGGTTTGTAATCCTTTTCGCTTTTGGAAAACGTAGCCTCGGCTATCTCTTTAACCTTTTTATTTACCAAAACATCTGTTGGTGGGTGTGCAGTAACTTCACTTGAGATTGGATCAATGTGTTTGGAAGCTTTGTTCTTTGTTTCGTCAACTTTACCTATATCATTGTTTGGCAGGGGTCCATTCTGATTTGCTTTTTCGTGGGTTCTTCGTTTGGGCTGTGCAGCTCTGCGCTGACGACTTTTTATAACCCTTTTCGGCATTTTCAGTTCCTTTTTTTTTAAATGGGAATTACAAATTTTGATTGGACAACAGGCTAGCACCTGATGGAGACAGAAAACTAAAGGATGTCTCTGTTTGATTTATGCATTCTGAACTTTCAAACTAATGTGTACATATTATATATGTTAATGTGCAGTTAATGGGATCTCATTTGTACCAGCATATATTTCCGAAAACAGGTTGTCGGGAGCAGTCATCTAGCTAATACCAGAATTATGGCTTACAATTCGTTCAGCATCACTGATGCTGAGTTATCTCTTTTATCTATAAGACAAGCCGAGATAAGCGCTAGAGAGTCGCCGATTGCTCTATCGCTATCAACACGCAGTCACAGCGCTGCCAAAATAAATCGTAGAAAAAATCTCTCGGCCTTTTCTTTATCACCGTTCACGGTATCTCATTTTTTTGTAAAACTATAACTTGTAAAACAAATCTAGAAACAGGTGGCATAAATTAATGTCCTTCCCAAAACACAGGTAAAATTGTAATTGACTTTAACGTTCATTTTATTCCATATCCATCGATTCACCAATTTTTCACCAATTTTGGTATGAATGGGAACTAACATCCCCGTCACTTAATAAACATGCTGTTATAAGACCATCTGATTAGATTATTGGTTAGCAGAGAAATGGGTATCTGATAATCAAGTAATCGACTGTAGGTTTTCTTCTTGTTTCCAATTGGAAACATAAGCCGTATTTACCTGTTACAGTTTTATTTAATATAAAATTAATAATATAGCAAGCAAAAATTATGAAATAATATTCAGGCTCAAAAATATTTATCTATAGGTATTGACAAAAAATTATATATAAGGCCACAGTTTTTCGCGGTTTGATTGCGTTACAGTTTCGGCGTTATTGTTTCGGAGAATTTAAATCTCACGTTTTATGGGCGTTAGAAGAAGAGTGTTCAGAAGCAAAAAAAAAAAAGAATAATACGTTTTGGTAGCAACAACTTATTCCAAGTTGGATATGATTTCACTGAATACATTTCAATTTCCGTTTTACCTATACAGAAAAAAGTGAGTACTAATTGCAGTAGATATAGCTCAAATACAGAGGTCGATCTATCGATTTCGATAATTTGGCACACCACGCACTTTTCGGAGTTCTCAAAATATCTGGCAAACGTTTTTGCAATTTCTCGGATTTCGACGCTAATGTTATTTTTCACTCTTCGTCTGATTATTCCCAATTTCTATCATCTATATCTATATCAATTGTGACGTTGGCTGTGTGGCTCGTCGCCCCGTCCTGCTGGAACCATATGTCGTCTATGTCTTCCTCTTCTATTCGGGGAAAGTAAAAGTCTTCCAACGTGCCATTAACGGTTACGGCGGCTCCTTCCTCGTTTTCAAAAAAAAAAACGGCCCAATAATGTCACCCGATCACATACCACACCAACAGTCACCCGTTGTGGATGCATTGGCTTCTCCAAGACGACGTGTGGATTTTCTGAACCCCAAATGCGACAGTTTTGTTTATTAACATAACCACCAGAGAACGTTATACATTTCGAGTGTTTGTCGCACACACGAACAGCAAGAAAAGAGTAACACACCCAAACGCACAAATCGCTTTGGGTGTTTTGTGTATTTGCCTTTTTGTCACTCACTCAATTCTATGGCACAGACACCCAAAAAAAACGAAGAAAGAGTCTAAAACACCGAAGTTTCGGGATGAGGGATTTGGGTTTCTTCAACTGATCTGGTGCTTTGGGGTGTGGTACACGGAAAATCCTTTTCATGTAAAATTATTGGGACTTCCTTCCTTTTATGTAAAATTATTCGGCAATCCTCAATGACCTGCACATGCAAAACAGTTGAAGATACCCGAAACACTAAGATCTGTTGAAGACACTCGAATCACTCACCCCGAAACATGGGTGTGTCGATATTGGCAAACACTACATGGGCCACCCTATAAGTCCTGAGAACTATGCAATTTTAGTTTTTCGTGATTTGTGAGCGTATGAGGCTGCTGAAACAAAAGCGGGCTGCACAGGAATCTTAAGACACTGGACGCTTAGACCCACATTTAATCGTAATGAAAAGAGGTCGCTGGCCAAATGTCAACAAATATTCCAGTAAGGCTTGTGGTAGATTTAGAATAATTTATGTTTAAATAAAATACACTTTCGTACACTAGCAAGGATTTATTAAATCAGAGGTGCATAGGGGGTTGGTCGCCCATAAGCTTTCAGCGCTCGCGGCGATATTACACTAACAATTTTTCGTTTTATTCATTCCACCTCATTCCGTCGCCAAACATAATATATTTTGTTCGTATTTTTTCCTGGAACATCTTCGAACACTTTATTCTTTATATGTATGTACCTTCTGTTTGCAATATAGAGCATATTTCGCATTTGGCGGGTTAGTAAATTGATAAATTTTTTTCTGAGTTCCCAGCTGCATACCAACACAAAAACGTTTCTAAATATGATCACGCCTTCTTTTATTTGTGTGAGTAAATTCTCTGCCGTAAGACGATTTTGAGCCCCCTGTATTAAATGGTCAAGAGGAAAATCATATAAAAGAAAAATTTAACTGTTAAAAAAAAAAATGATTTTAAATAATTAATTAGTTTTTTTTGGTCGAATTTATTCCAAAAATTACTTTCGTCGAAAAAAATTCCATTAGTAAATACATATAAGAAAGTCAGTGCTCAGACTTACTATGGTTAGAACTATTGAAATTAATTGATTTCCAAACAACTTTAACTGAGTTCTCCCAACAGCTTAAGTGGATTTTTTTGTGCTTGCTCATAAAAAATTACTCATTAAATTAAAATTAGGTACATACAAAATAATCAATTTACAAACTAATATCAAAGTTTAGTTATCAACAGTTTGATTCGTGGCCAGCGCATGCTGCACGCGCGTTTCTTGCTCTCTCAAAATACATAATTATTATATATTTGATATTTTGTAATGCATTTGATTTATTATTGTAGTGGTGGCTGGTTGTTTTTCAGTTCCATTGGTTGGAAGGTTTAATCGATTTTTACAATTTTTTTTGATAATTTTAACTATTTCTATGAATCTTCTTCTAACTTACATGCAATAAATGACTTTGTATGCATTACGCAGTTATCACAATTCCATTTTGTTTCCATTTCTTGTTATTTTAATAGTTTTCATTCTAGGTCATTTGATTTATCCTAGCGTATATTGCAATAGTTATATTGTTTGCAATGCATAGCTCTGTCAACTTTTGTTTGAAATGAAATTATGAATTATAATCAGGCTCTTTAGTTATACAGATATAAACTTTGTAGATTGGTCTACAAACATACTTCGAATCCTCAAATAAACTAAAACTACGAAAGTAATGTTCTTGCCAAAATGTCAAGTCTGATTGTGGTTTTGGGGCCCAGCGTTTGGGTCGGATGGTTCCTTTAGAGATGGTGTTGATGGTGATGGCTTGCCAGATTTTAACTTTGCCTTTACTTTAAGCAACAATGCTTCGAAGGAGTCCTCTTGTACTTTCTGCACTGGTGCCTCCTTGGGGAACACATATGAGTGGTAATTATTTATACCAGCATTGTCTGCAACAAAAATTAAGGTTAGTCTGTAAATTGAGATAAAAACAGTTTACTAACCCAAGTCAGCGTAGGATGCACGACAGAATGCACGCCTACCTCCGAAGCTAATATCATACATGTTTATCTGCGAGTCTCTGGGACTCGTATCGATGGCCGTGAAAGCGTCCTGCGCTCTTTCGTATGTAACAAACCCATACTTCATTCTGAAATTATATATGATGAACTAAATTTTTTTTTATAACTTTGCCGTTTATGCTTACCCGTTTTCTTTGTAGTGTATTGTTATCTGTTTAATGCTTCCATAAGGCAAAAATTTACGGCGCAACAGTTCCTTGGTAGTTTCCTGTTCAATGCGACCGACATAAACGATTCGCCGCTCCTCCACTGCCGGTTGCGAAACATTCCGATCCATAAAACCGCGCCTATTGTTGTTACTAGGACAGCTACTATTAGGATACCGCGGGTCTAACCTTGAACGTGAGCGGGCCAAGTTATTCGGACTGCGGCTACGTTCTCGATCACTTTTCTCTGAGCCGGAGCAGGACGAGGAAAAGTTGGTGCGCGTGTGGTTTTTGGAACGTCGCTTGTTGTAGCTAGTGCGTCGTTGTCTACGTTCATACTTGCCTGCTTCAGAGTAAGATGAAGAGCTTACAGAGCTGCGATGGCGGTGTGTGCTGCGAGAAGAATAACCACCGTTCACAATACTTCCTCCCCCACATGTTGCCTCTGCATCCAAGTTACGCAATTGCTCGATAGAATCCGACCGAGAGCGAGATCTGTAGGACACCAAACTGCTGCAGTCCGACGAGGAGCCACTCGAAGAATTTGAGCTTGAACGTCGGTTTCGTCGCTTGTGGAAGTTTCTTAACTTACGTTCTCGAGACTGTCGTGAAGGGCGCAGCGACAAGAGTGGAAATTCGGGTTGCAGATCAGTTTGGGTGGAAATGCTTACAAGAGTTTTGCGCACCCGATCTTTTGGCAAATGCATGATGATCATATCCTCGCCGTGTTGAAAATTTTGGTCAGTTGAAGTCGTATGCTGTGAGCCATTGGACGGCATCGCCGCGAGAGCAGTGCTACTGGTTTGTCTGACGACTTCACTTTGTATGCTGGCTATTAAGGAGTTGCTTATGTTCTTATTGCCATCTTGACCGTTCGAAATGTTGTACAGCAAAACTGAGGATTTTAGAAGAGAGCGGGGGGAAGCTTTGCTGAGTTGATTTGGCGGTATAGTTATGTCTGTATTGCAACTAACTGAAACTATTATAATCTCTTCATAATCCGGGTGGAGTTTATTACTGTGTGGGGCCACCACTGGAATCGGAATCTCATTTTGCATGCAGTAGGTGTCTTTAACTATGTCTTTAAGAGGGGGTAACTTAGTTACTCGAGGCACTTTAGCTGATACCCGAGAATCAATTATCTTTAATTGCTGTGCACGTTTTATCTCTAGCATGCGCAGAACTTTGTTTTTGGCCACAGTAATCGGATCCATGGGCAGCGAGGCTTGTCCATTACTTGGACACTTCAGGCTATTCACTATATTGACAATTGTAGCTTTCTGGGGCGACGGCGTAGGCTTCAAAATTGGAACAGGGGTGGAAAATTTGCTTGAAATTTCTTGTTTCGCCTGCTTTGGCGAAGAGTTGGTTTTTAAAACGACACCCCCGCCGCAACGACGCTGTTTGTACTCTTCAAGGTTAAGCTTTCGCTTTGGGACCGTCGTCGGCGTGGCTGTCTGTGGGATCACGGACGGTGCTTTCGCCGAAATTTCTGCCGCACATGGTGTTATTGCGGTATCTCTTTCCTGCTTCAGAAGCGAAAGATTTTTCCCGCCCAGCCCTAGACCTATGCATGGGTTACGATTTGCTGGCGGAAGTTTGTTACTAATTATTTTTGTAGCCTCTATAGCTTTCTTCGTTGCCACTTTAGTTGGCTTCGAAAATGAAGATCCGACCTTACGTTTAAGAAAGTCACACTGCTTTTTGTTAGGCACCAAGCAAATGCTTGCAGGCTTAGATTTGGTCAAAGCTGGTGCTATGGTTTGGTTGGTGCCCGCCTGCACGGGTTTATTTTGAGTGGAACCGGTCTTATTACTAACGTCTTCAACGATAGGAATGGTCTTCTTTGTGGGCTTGGGAGACCAGGAAGGATCTGCCTTCACATTGTCCACATAACGCAAATCATCGGAAGTTAAGACAACTTCTGTCGAATAAGCTGTTACCCAGGAAGTCTCATCCACGTCGATAACGTCGACAGTTTCAACGTCAATAATTGAGTCCGAGTCATAATCAGAGTCCCTCGCCTTGGAAGAAAGAGCTTTCGGTATTGCCGCAATCGGTTTCGCGGATGGTGCAAGAACTGAGGTTACTGCTGTTTCAGCAGTATTTTTATTGATATCCAGTGTTGGCAGACACTCTTTTACGCGACAGGCGTTTAGATTCTCGGCAAAATCATCTTTGGTTATAAATTCAGCTAAGTCAAAGTTATTAACGTCGATATTTAGTCCAAGTGCATCAGCTTCTGAGATTATAGTGTTTGTGCTCAGTGTTCGACCCTTGCGGTCACTGGAGCTCTGCAAAGTTGCGATATTTTGGCCGATCAGGTCTTCGTCCTGCTCATCGTCGACAATGTCGTATTCGTCTTCGTAGTCGCTTGAATGCGACTCATAGTCAGCGATCGAGGAGCTGTCTGTGCGTGTTCGAAACGTGGTGTCGCTACACTGGCTCTGTATGTCCTCTTCCTCTATAAGACCATCAATTACCATGTCTTCTCTGTTATACTCCACAATAGCGCGAATCTGTCGCTGTTGCTCATGGGCTACGTCGATCTCGCTGTCGGTGATTGCTCTGTAGACTTGGGCATTAAGCACATTGGCATCCTGGTCACACAGCTCCTGCTCCACGAAGTCACTGTAGCTCAGCTGTTCAAAGAATCAATAGCGATAGAGCCTGACCACTTGAATTCCCTCAAGTAAAAACCTACCAGGTTCTTTCTGTTTTGCAGATCTTCCTCCCGGTTATGGGTCAGCAGTGATTCATCTGTAGGTGCGATGGGTAGAATACCGTTAAGTGTTTCTGTCAGTTGTAGACTGGAAAGTACTGAATTAGTTTTTGATTATTTTTTAAACAACTTGCACTTACTCATCATTAGATGACCAAAAATTCGGGTCTGATTCGTATTTAGCGTAGTTCCCCTCAAAGGGATCTTCCTGAAAAACATTCAGTAGTCGGGAATCCATTATAGGTCAAAAGGGATCCCATTAACTGCAAATTAACAAATATGTACACATTAGTTTGGGAGTTCAGAGTGCATAAATCAAACAGAGACATCCCTTAATTTTCTGTCTCCATCAGGTGCCCATTTAAAAAACAAGGAACTGAAAATGCCTAATAGGGTAATAAAAAGTCGTCAGCTCAGAGGTGCACAGCCCAAACGAAGATCCCACGAAAAAGCAAATCAGAATGGACCCCTGCCAAACAATGATATAGGTAAAGTTGACGAAACAAAGAACAAAGCTTCCAAACACATTGATCCAATCTTAAGTGAAGTTACTGCACAACAACAGATGTTTTGGTAAATAAAAAGGTTAAAGAGATAGCCGAAGCTACGTTTTCCAAAAACGAAAGGATTGTCGTCTTCGATGCCAGACAACGTCGGGTCTGAGAACGTTCAGCTATGTGAAAAAAACTCAAAAATCATTCTTATCAGCGATTAAAACAAGTGCTCCGAACTTCGAAAGTGGTCTGAATAACACTATTAGCTGGTATGACCACGATAATAAAACCACTTTTCAAGGCTCAATAACGGCCAATTAACAGGGTTCGAAGGCTAGAAAAGAACCGTTAACAAATTCTGGAAAATATCGCTGGCAAGCACGCAACTCTGGCACAACCTCGAGTTCCTCGAGAGAAAAAACATAATAAAATCGAGAAAGAGAAAGCACAGAAGTACTTTTAAAGACGTCATTAAATATTATAACTGGAATAAAGATTTCAAAGAATGTAAGCAAACATATAACAAGATCTTATATCGATCAAAAAAAAAAATTACAGGTTTTCTTAAAATTACTTTAAAATCAATGTACTGGAATCTAAACTTGGTCTAAAAAGCCACAAACTTACATATGTATATTTCCCAACTTATATTCAACAAGGTTTTTAGCTTAAGCAAGTGTGATGATGAATGATGAATATGATTGAAACAAATTTAGAGTTTCCAGCATAGAAAGAAGGAGAAATCGTGGATTAAATGTGTGGGTATATTTGCCCGCAGGTAAGCATACATTTTCGGTGTCGCATTTTTATCACCTTTAAATAAGTTTTTGTTAACAATGAACAAATTAAGGCTTCTGTCATTTGCACAAAAGCATAAAATTATACAATTATATTAAAGCAAAAAGTTTAAGGCTAACTTTTCGAGCACGTGTTGTGATAGGATATGTACGTACATATATGGTAGTTCTCGATATCACCCAGTGAATGAAAGCGCTATAAAAAGAATACGTTTTTTTTAACTTAGAAAAGAAATTGACTGGAGTTTTTCAGTTTAATCAGGCAAAAAAGATATTTCGAGGGGCATGCTTGCTGAAATTTCCTCCCCTGCCTCATCCTTTCATTCAAAACCACCTTCAGCCTCAGAGCAACACGTTATCAGCGGATTTTGACCAAAACTCTGGGCTTACATACATACATCCAATCGGAACCAAAGACAACACAAGTTCGAGCCAAAGCCCTGGCTGCCGACCATAACAAACATGGGCACACAACGACGATAGAAAGAAGAAGCGCCCGTACATGTGTTGCTCCAACCACGTGTATGTGAGACCGCGATAGAAGCGTACGTAAATGCCGCCGCCATGCCATGTGCTTTAGCTGCGTCAGGAGTATCAATAGAACAAAACACTCCACTATCACCTTTGACATTTTTTTTCATTTGTTTAAAACTTTTTTTTTATGGAAAGCTGCTTTCTGCCAAAAGCCGGATTCCCTGTCGAATTCGGAAACTGAGATCATGTGTGGCGTAGGTCTTGCAACATTACCTTCTGAATAGCAGCTGTGGTTCACAATTTCTATAAGCCCAGATACCCAAAAAGTTTTTAGATTTGTTGTCGCCGTCTTTTTGTCCGTCTGCTTTAACCTCACATGTTGAGCGCCGCGTCTGCAGCACAAACACAAGCACAGGTCCAATCTCCAAAAGGGTCTTTGTGGGTCCTCACCCAGATTATTCCACTCGTAAATCAACCGCGATTTTAGGCGGACCAAAATCACTTCACTTCAATGCACTCCTCTAACTATTTATCTCATCAGTCGGGAATCGCACATTGCCCAAAAGATGTTCACGTGGACGCAGTTTCGCGGCAGCGACAAAAGCAGTGTGGCCAGATGCAGGTGATGGTATTGGGACACGCAGTAGTAACGCTAAGTTCCATCGAAAATACCAATTCGATGCTGGAAGAGTTGTCGAGTTAATACAGTTTGAGCTTTGCCACATAATTACTTCAATTTGGAAATATGTCATTAAAAAAAATTATTAACATATTAACATGGAAAAACTCTTTTGTTCTACCATTTAAACAATATAAATTTTAAAATTAAATAAAGTCATCGGGCCTCAAAACTCATATAATATATTCCTTATATTATTATGCATTTCATAAAAAAATTCGTACATTTTCGAGGATTAAGCTTGCTTGATCGCTTGACAATAAAAAAGTATCTTGCAAATTTTTGGTATTTTGAAACTTAAGTTTTAATCAAGAAATAAAATTTCCTCACTGTAGTACCTTTCATGACCTTTCATTGCTGAGAAGATAATTTATTTGTTTGACTATAGCTCTTCCAATCATAAAACGAATTTATGGTTTCTTTAACCGATAGATACCTTAAAAATTAGGTATTTTCGTTCAGACTGCCTTCAAAAGGTCTTTCTGACCCGATAAAATAAATCAATATAGTAAAAACGTTAAAATAAATAAACCTCCCTAAAAGCAGGTTAAAGCTTTTTTTTTAATGAATATTAGGTAAGAAAGATAAATAGAAAAACTACAATAAGTTAGAACATGGTTATTTTATTCGATAGTACTTTAGTGAGTCGATGACCGATGACCAACTTATTTTATACTATCTGCCGCAAGCATTATTGGATAGATGTAATATACGGCGTTGACTAAGCTGTATTCCAATAGAGTATAAATCGGATAAAATTAAAACTATGTTACTATTTTGCGTAGACACGAAAATGCGAAAATACTACGAATCAAGCCACGAAGATTGGTAGCAGTTCAACGTCGCTTAACGCTGGTCCATTCACCATCATCCCCAGTTTTGTTTTCTGAAATATGATATTGCTTTATAAAGGCGTCACTTTGACCTGGTACTTGGACTACTCACCCTTGTCCTGTGGTTGATCACGCTTGACTGCAGGCTTTTCCTCGCGAGGAGCTGCAGCCGTACGCCAATTGCCACCTCCGCCACCACTTGCTGATTCTTTAGGAGCAGGTCCGCGATCGCCACGAGCGTCACGTAAGTCCCGATCGCGTCTTTCGCCAGCTGGACGTCGATTCTCTCGATCCCCCTGACGTGGGGCGTCGCGCCAGTTACCACCCGTCTCGCGTTGTGGCTCTTCCGTACGTCGTGGACCGTCATTCCGGCGGAAGGCACCGCGTTCTTCATCACGCTCCCGGCGCGGTCCATCATCACGATCACGACGAGGTCCATCGTCACGGTCACGACGAGGTCCATCATTGCGGAAATCACGGTCGCCGCCACGTCGCCACTTGTCTTCGCGTGATTGGGGAGCGCCACTGTCCTTAGGCGCAACAGTACGCTGGGAATCTGGCTCCCGTCGTACACGCCACGATGAGTCCGCTCCTTCGTTGTCTTTGCGGTCGCGGTCTCCGCCTCGTTCCATGCGTTCTCCACCGCGTTCAATGCGGTCTCCGCGCTCAATGCGATCTCCGCCCCGCTCAACACGATCTCCTCCGCGCTCGATACGTTCTCCCCCACGTTCGATTCGTTCACCGCCACGCTCATTGCGGTCGCTTGCTGCAGGCGCAGCTCGACGCCACTCTCCGGGTCCGCCGGCCGGTGCGCTTGGACGGTCGCCACCACGGGGACGCCATGTGTCCCGCTCCTTCTCGGTACGTTCGCGCTCCACGGCCACCTCTCGTGCCATACGTTCACGGTCTTCCTTGATTTTGCGTTCGGCCTCCTCCTCCTTGGCACGTTGCTTTTCGTACTGTGCGCGTCGTTTCTCGTCTTCGGCTTCCCGCTCCAAACGTCGCGCCTCTGCGGCAGCGCGTTCCTCGGCAGCCTGCGCCAAACGAATTTCCTCCTCCTTGCGAAGTCGCTCCTCCTCTTTTTCACGAATAAAGGCCTGGCGGCGTTCCTCGCGACGACGAACAATCCGGTCAGCCAGGCGCTTTTTGCGCTCTGCCTCCAGGGCAAGCTCGAACTTCTTGAGCTTTTCGACATAGAGCGAAGCACGTTCCTTTTTGAGGGCCTCGAGAAATTCATCCCGGTCGGGATACATGCGCTTAAGACGCTCCTGCTGGCTAACGGCGTCTTTCCGTTCGGTAATAGCATTCTCGATGCGCGTCTTCTCAGTGGCCTCCCAGAACTCTTTGTCCTTAACCTGTTTCTCGGCCAAGTATTTTTCGAAAAGTGGGATCTCCTCCAAGCGCTTGGCACGTTCAAAATAGTCTATTTTCTTTTCCTGCGACTTAAGTTTTGACTGAAGTTCCTTGGCTTCGCGCTGCAATTCCTCACTCTCCCGCTTAGCGATCTGCTCGGCGTCCAACTTCTTGATACCTTCCTCGTCTAGTTTAGAAAGCATCTTTTTTCCGTGAGCCGTCTGCGAAATTTGCTGCACCTTCTCCTTCAGACTCTTCTCCCGGATGGCTTGGATTTCGTTCTGGTGGCGTTTACGCTCACGTTCTTCCTGCTCTTGCTCGAGACGCTTTTGTTCTGCCAATTTGGCTTTGCGTGATTCCTCCTCATGTCGTCTTGCCTCTTCCTCCTCACGCGCATTGTTCTGCTTTTCGATATACTCCTTTCGATCCTCAATGATTTTCTGGCGTTGAAGAATACGTTGGTGTTCGCGATCCTTGATCTCGTGATAGTGATGCACCATTTGTGTACGCAGCTTGGCTCGCTGGTCACGTTCCCGGTTCGGATAGACTATGGAAACAGCCCTTGTTAGCACGGTAGACATGTTGACTAATTGAGAACGAATCTGTTCCGACGGCATGGACTGCAGAGCGGGCCCATCGGGTCTGTACTCGCGCTGACTTTCGGTAAGATCAGTGCCGAAGTAGATGCTATTTTTCTTGTGGTCAATGCGAATTTGCATATCATTATGACGGACTGACTCGACCAGCAGCTTTTCCAATTCAAAAATATTGCAAAAGCTTGCAAGTTGCAACAAACGTTGGAATTGGATGCTTTCATAAACCTGAGAGATCTGACGAATCAAACGCATGATGGTCACGTCCTTTAGCGACTGAATATAGGGAGTTAGCAGAGTGTTTTCTGGCCCACTCTCTATAACGTCCACAATGGACTGAATGCGCTTGCACAGGTTCAGTGGGTTGAAATCCACCTCCAGCCAGTTATACAAATTGCGAAAGTCCTCCGACACCAGTTGAGGTACACTCAAACGTACCTGTTTGATTTCCATATATTAGTGGCATGTCATTTTTATTAAAAAGGATACTTACCACTTCTCGTATAAGCGACACACGAGTGGGCGGCTGTGGTAGTCCCAGGAGAACAGCCAACTTCTGGGCTTTTTCCAAGGGGCTTTTGTCCGCTTCGATAAACCTGTCAAACTCCGGATGGGCTGACGGCAGCGGAATAGATAGGGTAGCCAGGAGAACATGAGCGGCCATGCGCTGCAGATCATCCTTTGTCAGGTTCTTTTTGAGCTCGCGCGTTAGCTGAAAGAGCTTCAGTAGGGCTGCAGCGTGGAAAAGTTGGTTGCCCGCCTTACTGAAGACCATGGCCAGCTTTTGATAGTAGTTGGCCATAGTTTTGGGCACAGGGGTCTTCTTCGACAGGGCCATCAGGCCGTGGATGTCTTCGATAGCCTTATAAGCCTCCTGCCACAGCTCCATCTGGATCGCCGAGTCGAGTAGGTGCAGCCTGGTGTCCAGACAGAGCTGCTGCGTCTCCACTTTGTTGATTGAAACACCGGTGGTCTGGTTGCTACTTTTGCAGATGTCTTCCAAGTGTTTGCGCAGCTTGTCACACAGGCGCCGGAACTCGCTCTTACGGTTGTACTTAAGACAAAACTGGAAAGCCATCCGAGCAATGTCATGGTACAGTGCCTCGCAGTGAGTGTTGACGCGGAGCAGCTCCAGGCATTGGCAGTAGGACTCCCAGAGGAACTTCACCCACGGCAGCAGTATGGTGCGGTCCGAACGGTCCTGGGCGTCCTCGCCGCACACGGCACTCATTAAGATACTTTCGGGCGTGGCGATATTGTCCAAATCGTCCAGTTCCAGAACGGCGACGGCCGCCGATGATTGCGCTTGGGCGGCCTCCGTGTGCTCCTCGGCCATCTTCAGGTATCCGCGGATCACGTTTTCCAGCGAGTTCACGTTGACCAACTGGAACATGTTCCGGTATTGGAAGAGTCCCTCCTTGGCGATGTGTGACTTCTTTAGCTCCACGCATAGGTACAGGTACTTGAACATTAGAGGCTCTATGACTGTCTCCGAGTAGGCGTAGTTCCATCGCTTGTTTCGGAACACTTCCTGCAGTGTGTCCAGTGCCCTCAACGGCTTTCCCACTTCGATAAACTCTGTAGCAAAGAGAAACGTTAGGTTAAGAGAGTGACTGTTTCGCGAAGCCGGAGAGGTTCTCTTTTGCGACCGCATGGAAAATTTTCAATCCACTCACCATTGGCTCTTTTTAAGGCGTTTTCCGGGCGTTGGGTGTAACGTGCCATCTTCGTTTAATTGAATTACTTGCGGTAGCACTCAAATTTGACTTTATTAACGGCTCTGAATGGTTCTGAAACCTGGAGCTGCAGAAAATCGTTGAAATCTTCGGCTGGTCTACGTGTGGGCCTGCGAGATTTATGCAAAATGGCCGAGATGACGTTGCGCAGGGCTGCACCGTGCCTATTTTATCGATAGTACAGTTCGGCAGTCGGTAGTTGCCGATGTTGAGTCGCTGAACAACAACCCTACTAGAGCTGTAAACAATTCTACTTGTTGAGAATCGATTCAATTTTTGAAAAGATCGAAAAAACGAACAAGGAAAATAACGAGAGATTGATAACTATGTTCGTTTTTCAAATAAATAATGTAGATTGTTGTCCGCGCTGAATGCACAGTCACCAATCGCAGAGCGTCCTTGAAAACCAAAAACGTAGACAAGCTTATACTCACAAATAAAAACCAATGGATTTTAAATAAATAACCAGAAACATTGATCTCAAACAATTTTTTTTAACAAATTTTACTTTTGTTTGCAACTGTATAATCGGTGTTTTTCTTACCATTTTTAAGCAAAAAGTGCCTTTTTCATTAAAATTTTTTTTTCGTTTCGATTTTAAATCGATTTAATCGATCTTTTCAAGAGTTGAATGGAAAAGAATCGATCCTCAAAAAGTATAATTGTTTACAGCTCTATAACACACACTGATTCTGGAAGTGATAAATATTTATTAGTTTACTTAAGTTATATTACTTTAATTTTATCTAATTTTTTTTTTTGGTGAGCAAACTTGTCGATTGAGAGATTCCCTAAATAAAGAATCGATTTTTTCGCTCATCCAAAAAGATCGATTAAGTCGATTTAAAAATCGAATTGCTTACAGCTCTAAACCCTACCCGATGTAAACAAAAACACGCGGATACGTACATATAATGAATCGTGTGGAATTTTGGGGAAAACTCGACTTAAACTAATCTGACAACATGACCAATTGCAGGAAGACTTGTGATAAAGGTGTTATCTACATCTTATGGTTCGCCCAGGAGCACGTTGACTTTCGGCTTTACGAGTTCGACTCGCTCATAAAAATGTTTGGACTCCAAGTTCGGCGGCTGACTGAACAAACATTGGTAAAATAATATAACATAAATTAAAATAATATTATATAAATTAGAATACTGTTCTGGTATTTGGCCTTTATATATAGACCACCGAGAAGCTTTAAACAGTAAGAGTTATACAGTCTAAGATCAATTAATTAAAAAACATTATTATAGCCGTTTTCCAGAAAATTGTCCATGTAAATACATATGTATGTACCATACAATAGAATACTGTTCTGGGATTTGGCCTTTATATATAGACCAACGAGAAGCTTTAAACAGTAAGAGTTATACAGTCTAAGATCAATTAATTAAAAAACATTATTATAGCCGTTTTCCAGAAAACTGTCCATGTAAATGCATATGTATGTGCCATACAAAAATACGTTATAATATAAAGGTCTCCATTTATAATAAACCTTAAAACACTTTGTTATTGAATTTGTAATAAATGTAACCAGAAAATAACTAAAAACTCATGCAATACCATACAGGTTTTATCCGTTACTCTTAAAGTAAAAGGGTGTAATCATCCCACTGTAATGTATTTGTTAAATAATAAGTAACACGCTGATGTAACACTTCGATCAGATCAGAATTGGGTTTATGTTTTGGGTTGACCATACATAAAATACATAAGTACATATGTACCAATCTCAAAAATCATATCAATATTTCTTAGTAATTTATTTAAAAATTAAATTAAAATGAATTTATTATTATTTAATTTTTAATTAGTCAGTGGCAGTTAGTTATTAAATATGTTTTATATGGACAATAAGGGGCAAGTAGCTAATAAAAGTATACAAAGGATCAATTTCTACTATAAAATTTTTTTTTTTTAATTGGTCAGTACAGTATCGTAAAGAGTAAAACGGTATTTTAGATTCGTTGAACAGTATGTAACAGGTAGAATCAAGCGTTTCCGACCCTATAAATTACATATACTCTTGATCAATATTCATTCATAGGTTATAAAACATACATAGACAGTGACTTCACCATCAGTTACTCAACATGCTTTAAAATTATATAAAACAGTAACGGGTATTTTCTAGTCGTGGCATTTGACAATAGCGTATCTTCTTGCCTTTTCATTACTATAGGGTCATATTACGTAAAATATACATATGTTTCGCTATTACAGAAACCATTTTGGCTGGTAGAGTTCTGTGACAAAAAGACTGCCAAACAATACGCATCACGATCCATTTCCCTTCGCGCCATGTTCGAGCTCTACGCCCATGCCACCAGTTTGCCCGAGTTTCACAAAAGGCTTCGGAGTCATATAGATGCGAACCGGCACGTGATGGAAAGATTCTTTCGGGCAGATACCAGCTTCAAGATCACGGTGGAGACCTACAACAAGCACTTTAGCCAACGAGAGAAGGTGGAGAAAATTGAGACAATGGATTACCTGCCCTTAGAGGGTCCTGTCAACCTGAAAAATCCAAAGGTGGAGTGGTGCTATATCGAGTTTTGGGGCCTTGATCCCACGGCTGTGCCGTCCGAACCTGAAGACATTATGTTTGGCAGACTGGTAGCCTATGGACAGCGTCATCTAATCAAGGAGCTGTCGCTGAAGGAGCGTAAGTTTATCGGCAATACAAGTATGGATGCCCAATTGAGTCTACTGATGGCCAACCAGGCCATGGTGCGTGAAGGGGATTTGGTCTTCGATCCCTTTGTTGGGACAGGCTCACTCCTAGTAAGCGCCGCCAAGTGGGGTGCTTATGTCCTGGGAGCGGACATTGATTACATGATGCTGCATGCCCGGTGTCGACCCAGCCGCATAACCCAGAAGGTTCGAGATAAGGATGAGAGCATCCGCGCCAATCTAAAGCAGTACGGATGCGCTGACCGCTACATGGATGTCGTGGTAGCTGACTTTTCCAACCCGTTGTGGCATCCTCGCATATCTTTCGACAGCATCATAACAGATCGTAGGTAGCACCTTTCAGGAGCTCTTAAAATATCTACAACAGGTTTATTTTCAGCCCCATATGGAATCCGCGAAGCCATGGAAAAGGTGGAATCGAAAAGCGTCTCGAAGGACAACATTAGGAGAGAGGACATGGTGCATTATCCTTCAACATCACATTATTCCCTGCAATGCCTGTACGGGGATTTACTGGAATTCGCTGCAAGACATTTGAGGCTGGGAGGACGTCTTGTCTGTTGGCTTCCCTTCCATCGTGAGGATTACGATCAAATAATTCTGCCACGGAATGACCATCTGGATCTGGTGGCCAACTCTGAGCAGCTCTTAACTGGAAACACTGCACGACGCCTGCTCACATACGAAAAGAGTTCTGAGTACAGTCCAGTGGATCCGTCTTTGGCCATCGCAACCAAAATATCCTCACACTCGCAGGATTTCAGGGATCGCTATTTTAACAGCGCTTTGGAGCCTCGCAAAGAGCGTCGTATACGAAAGGCAGAACAGCGGGAACTAGGCCGTGTTGAGATGGAAGCACGAGGAAAGATTCCTACAGATGGACGCTCAAAAAAGTGTGACCTGAACAAGGCTCGATTTAAATGAAACTGTCGATTTCATAACTGCTGATATAATACTAATTTGAATTATATTTTATCAAGTAGATAATGCTTGAAAATTTAGCTTCAGTTATTACCATATAACATTTTTACTTATCAAGATCTTCCTTTCTTCCTTCGAATTGTAAAACTCTAAAAATAGAAAGCCTAACAAGTTGATTTAAGACCACTACTACATAGACCGTAATCGTTGTAACAAAATCAAATTCCGTTTCTAGCCACTTACTTAATTTACCCTATACTCTTATTAATTCAACTTTAGTTTCTCATGGAGAGACAACGATACCCAACAGAGTTTCGAGAAACTAATGGAGTCCCAAATTCGAGAGGTATTGTTTAAAAAAAAAGGTTTTCACTTTACTAGAAAATATTCTGTGAAAGTCAAATTGCGTCAAATCAGAAAAATCGATTTAGTTAGCTACATTTCCGTAGCTCTACCCAGTTTAGATTCGTTAAGATTCTGCACTCCGCACTCAAACACGCTGGCGAAGCTGCTGATTAGTGCGTCACTAGCCATCTGAACGGACACGTGCCGGTTCAGCTCCTTGCTGAGCGAGGTCACTCCCTTACCCTCGATTCCACAGGGCACAATATGATCGAACCATCGTAGATCCGTGCAACAATTTAAGGCGATTCCGTGCGTTGTGACGTAACGCGAGCCATGGACACCGATAGCGCAGATCTTCAGTTCGCCCACCCAGATGCCAGTGTCCTTGGTGGTAGTGGCTCCGGAAATACCCAGCTGATGACAGGTCTCGATGACCATTCTCTCCAGTGTTGCCACATACCAGCGCATGCTAGGTTTGAACTGGCGTAGATGCAAAATAGGATAAACTACCAACTGGCCGGGTCCGTGAAAAGTTATTAGGCCGCCACGATCTGTCCGATGGAAGTCCGCGCCCAGCTTGCGGAGCCGATCCTCATCCGCAGCCGTGTAGTCCTTCGTTCTCAGGCCGACTGTGTAGACTGGATTGTGCTCTTGCAGCACAAGGTAGTTTCGGAACTCTGAGGGCGGATCCAGGGTCTGAGTAGACTTTGCAAGATTTTGCTGCAACTGCAGTCCCTTTGAAAAGCTTTGGCGTCCAGCCTGTACCACAGTCACCAGCGGTCGGCTCACAGACATGTTTAGTTTGTCCAACAAACATTTGCCAGTTTAGTTTAAATGTAATAAATAATAACCAGGGCCAAATAATTATATGGACTTATCGATTAATTGGTCGATATATGTATCGGCACGATATATAGACTTGTTGCAACGGGAAAAATATATTTTAGCGTTCATTCTCGATTTTTTAAACTAATCAGTTTCTAATAGAAAGTTTTGTAGTTGTTTTTCCGAGATCGCAATCTTTTATCGATGTTTTGTTTAAGATTGCGAGTCGCTATTGACATTCACGGGTGCTCGCAACAATTTGACGTTTGCAAAAAGAAGATAAAAAGATTTACACGCACGCTTCGGGAATTATTTGGAGTTTGGCGTGAAAAGTGAGCCCTAGCCACTTAAAACCGACTCTGGTGAACCTCTCGCTGGAGTTTCAGCTGATTTGGGAAAAACTTGCAGTCGGTAGACACACGTAGGCACGTATGAAATTCCAATAGGAGAAAGGAGCTGGTGCGTTAACAGCATAGGCTTCTTCGCAGGACATGGCGACTCATCAGGACGACGAGGTCGGGAGCGGCGGACCCGAGCGGGCCCTCTTTCGCGTCCTGCCCCACACGGAAGACGTGGCCAATATCTTGGTCCAGCAGCAACAGCATCAGCAGCAAAACCAAAACTACCTGATACATCAGCAGCAACACGGACAGCCACCCGGTCCAATGATTTGGACACCGCCGCCCCACCTGGCCACTCCCCAGTTTGCGCCTCATCTCCAGCAGCAACCGCATATGTACAACGAGTATCTGTACAACCTCACCTATTCAGGGCAGTCCGGACAGACGGAGACTTACTCGGTGCTGCCCGTTGGTCACGGAAACTTCCTTAAAGTGTACCACTGCCCGGAGAATTCGGTCAACGAGGCTAGTGCTCCACTCTTTACGCATATCAACATGGCCTCGCTGAATAACCATCAACTGCAGCACCCCCACCAGGCCGCTCCTGCTACGCCTACGCCTTCTTCGCAGCAGCCCACTCCACTTTACGAACTATTTGCCACGAATCCTTTGACTTTGCCGCAAGCCCAGCAACAAGAAGCCCACCAGCGCCAGCCTCAGCAGACTATAAATCAGGCTACAACTAACCCCCAAGTCATTCATTCAACAAGCAGTGCCAACCTGCTAATCAACAACTTGGTGAACAATTGGTCGCCGAACCTGACTGGAGGAAGCTACATACAATTCAGTGACGATTCCAACGAGAATGATATTCAACAAGCTGACCCTCCATCAGTTCAGAAGCAGGTGCCCAACCAAATGCAGCAGCCGCCGGAGCCACTGTCCCAATCCGTCAGCCCATCGCCCGCGCCCTCCAAACCTGCCAGGACTCTGAAAGTGCATTTGGCGACTGCCAGTGTCTCAGCAAATGCCATTAACAAGTCGGGGGTCGGGCCAGGCCATCCCGAGGGTAAAAAGCGTATCGTGGCCGAGGTGAAACCCATGCCCATGTCGTACTCCGATGTACTCAGCCAGGGTACGAAGTCAACCACAGTAGCGGGAGAGATGCGCGCAGGCAATGGACTTGACAAAGGTTCTACTCAGCAGCAGCGGAGACAGGGAAAGGAGGATGGAAATGGAACGCGCGAGATACGTACGGCAAAGCGCTCGCCGTTGCACGATGCCAAGGAGATGGGTTCAGTGGTGGCAAGTGGTCATGCGCACGCCAGTCGAGGGAAGAAGCGAGGTCAAACCAACCAAGCTGCTACAACCAAGGTGCAACAGCCCATTCAACAGCCCTCTGCACAGGCACAGATTAAACAAAGCAAGCTGATTAATCAGGAAAAGAAGCGGCTTCTGCTGCCCAAAAACTGTAGCAGCCACATCCTCAAGACATCGGAGCAAAAGACAACTTCTGCAACAATCCTTACCAACAGCACCTTGCACAGTAATGGCAGCAATTTGACTCAAGTCCCCAGTTTCAGCATCTCATCCCGTAAATCTGGCAATAACAAGATAAACTCCAATGCAACTCACTCGAATTACACTGGGTCAAGCTCCAATTTTGGTAGTGGCAATAACAATAGCAGCATCAATTACTCTAACAATAATAATGTTAGTTCCTCCTCGTCAAAGCGGTATTCCTCGAATTTTAACTCGAATAACAGTTCTGGCTACTCTTACTCTTCGAAGCGCAATCGAAGCAGTGCCTACTCATCATCAAACTCACCCACCCATCCTAAAAGCTTCTCCAGTAATCGTAATTACGAGTTGGCTAAACGTATTCTGCACACTTGGTGGATCTACACCCTGAAACTATTAACCTGGCTGTTCTACTTGGTCTATGACATTGTTGTGCTAGGTTTCAGCATGGGCTACGAGCGCATGAAACTGGCCTACGTGTCGGGATTAGCCTATGCGTGGCAGTTACACAAGGAACTAAAACAGAATTCTGGAAAACCGAGTATCTGGTGGCGAAGTTACTGGCGTCGATTCGACGCACATTTTGCCAAGCACTCTTACTGGGCCGTGTGGCGACATTTCTATAAACGTAAACCCCCTGAGCCCACATCAGATCAGGTCAAAACTGGACGCTTGCCACAAACCGGCGAGGAGGCAATGTACTCTCTGCTCAATTGCAAGGGAAAAGATGCATACAGGTAAACTTAGCTTATTAACTATTAATCAACGTGTTCTCAAATTTTTTTTTTTGTATATTCCAGCATACTTGGAGTTCCACCAGATAGCTCACAGGAGCAGATCCGGAAGCATTACAAAAAAATTGCTGTGCTTGTACATCCCGACAAAAACAAACAGGCTGGTGCTGAGGAGGCTTTTAAGGTGCTACAGCGGGCTTTTGAGTTAATTGGAGAACCGGTAAAAAGTTGCAAATTTAAAGCAAGGGTCGGCTACTTAAAAGTTTAATGTTGCAGGAAAATCGACTTATATATGACCAAAGCATTGCAGAGACTCTGCACACTGAAAAGGCGTGGACGGAGTTGCATGATCTGCTTTCCCAATTGCAAACTAAAATGGCTGAGGCAGCAAATACTATAAGGTGCGTATTTGTTAATTGAGTCTAACTATATAGCAAAACTCTTACCTTTTATTTATCCTACGAAACAGGTGTAGCACCTGTGCACAGCGTCATCCTCGCAAGCTAACCGAGCGTCCTCATTATGCAGCTCGCGAATGTGCGTCATGTAAAATTCGACACTCTGCCAAAGATGTAAGTGGGCCAAAAGTGAGTTATTTATGTTGAAGTTTTCCTATTCTTTATAGGGCGACATTTGGGCTGAAACCAGCATGATGGGCTTACGATGGAAATATTTGGCGCTAATGGACGGAAAGGTCTACGACATTACCGAGTGGGCCAACTGCCAAAAAGGAGCCCTATCACATTTGGAACCCAACTCTCATATGGTGCAGTATCGCATAGTACGCGGTGCTCAGCAACAACAACAACAGCAGCAGCAGCAGCAGCAGCAGCACCACCACCACCACCACCAGCAACAACAACAACAACATCACGATCGGGGTGTTCATCATCCCAGTGGGGGAGTCAGTGGGGTTAGGTAAGTTGGGAAATTGTATAGCTTTAACAAAAAAATTTAAAACTGAATAGATATTATTTCCCTTAGTGAGGCTACATTGCACGAGTTCTTAGATAATTTGTATAGCGGCCAGCATCCGGGGGCCCCCAATACCTTCGCGGGAAATACGCGTCGGCGAACGCGACGTAACTAAGCATCTTTAGCATAGTCTTAAGTGTTTTAAAATCTCTAATCTACAGTTATAGTTCAACAAATGCATGGCCATGGCTGATTGGTCTTTACTGCACGTCAGCACCAGCTGGCCTCTTATCCCTCCTATTCTAACCGCATTGACTTACAACACGACTATCGTTCAGATGTTAAGTTGTCAAGTATATAAGCCATTATAACTTCCGAGCATTGCTTTAAAGATCTTACAATTCTTTTAAATGACACATTGAATTGTATAAGCAACTATAGGTTTTATACTTTTGTTACACCAACCACACACACACACACGCACACACACACACACCAAACCCTCAAACACCCCCCTCGCCCCCTCCCTCTCTCCACCCCCTCCAACGTTCTTTATTATCTGCTTATCACGCCCAGCTCTTAGCAATACATTAGTTCTAAGCTTTAAGTTTATTGTACCCGTCAATTTGTATGCGACGGCACACATGTAAAATTTAACACATTCAACTTAAACAAACATTAATGTTAATAAAAAAATATTTAACGCTTATGTTTGGTTTCACATATTTTTAATATTCGATTTAAAGTCCAAAAGAGGTGTTTGCGAAATTCAAGTAAAGTTAATGATTTTACGAAAGTACTGATGGGCTGAAATATAACACGTAGAAAGTTAATTTAGTTCAGTATTTTTATTGAAAAAATGCTCCACTCCATTTTCACCTAATTTTCTACAAATGTTTTTTTTTTTTGTTTTTGTATAATAATAGTTACATAGGTAATGTTTACACACTGCTCCACAAAAATGGGTATTACACATACAAAACGTATTGAAATTGCATACCTAAAGTGTGGGACTTACAGTCTATTTTGTTTTTGATTCCAACCATTTTCAGAATTTTATGCTCGGTTTCAAATGGATCGACCTTATGTTTATTCCTATTTGTGTTCCCTTTGCTATTAATATTGATGAAGTGTGTATGCTTTTGGGCATGCACCGTCTTTAAGGGTCAATGCACATTTATTTCCCGTCTTCGGATTTAGTTTAGCGGCATCATTTATTTGTAATAAATTAATGAAATTTTAGGCGGTGATTTCTTAATGTCTTCGTAAATTTCGTTTTATTTTTTTAATCCTTTTAAACGTTTTACATAATCTGTCGAATACTTGCGGTTGTAGTTTGCTGTTTAACGTAAATTGATTTCGGCTAATTTTGAATGACATTTATTTTTAACAATTATTGTGTCTAATTTTAAATTACATTTGTTTTTGCTTTATACAGTTACAAAACTTGCCGTTAGCTCTTTTTTTTATTTTTTAATATATGCATGTGGTTTATACACCTAGGTATATTTTAAATTCTAGGCTTAAATACGTAGTTGAATTCCTTGCTCGCACACAAACTAGCTGTATTAAACATAAGCTTTAGTTTTTAAATTGTTTATGCTGGACTTCTGTTTATGTTGCTGGTTAGTTGAAATCTTCATTTGTATGCTGGCTTTTTATTATACAATCCGCTGGGGTACTTATGATAAGTAAGCTTTGTACAACTAAAGTAGATTAAAGAAAAAGAAGCAACAAAACATATTTGAAATAGTACGCTATAAGAATGGGTGCATATGCAATCGCAATGCCTATACATATGCTTATGCTTCAGTATGTCTGGAGCATACTTTTAGCATATTTTTTTATGTTCGGGTGCATGGAGCTGTAGCTGTGGGAGAATGTCCGCAAAAGTACGGAATAAGCGTGGTAGTTGTATATGTTTCACTTTTCGCTATCTTCGCTTACTCAGCATTTTCCAAACGCTTTTGAACGTGGATTCTTGCGTAGAAGTGTGGATGAACTGCGGTGTGAAGTGAGTTGAAGTTAATGAATATGTGTGTGGCTGTGGAAATGACTCTGGAGCTCTGCTTTTCCCAGGAACCTCCTGGCGATTCTGGCTCCTAAGCTCTGTGCTGGCGCCGCCCCATATTGCTCCGATATTATTTCGGCGTCTTCCGCTGTTTCAGATCTTGGGAGGCATCGTCCAAGAGCTTAGTGGCATATCCATTTGTTAAAAGCCCGCCGTTTGTCCCCTTATGCGCATTGCCGTTAGCCAGCTGCTTATATCCATTAGACAGCCCATTTGCATGACCATTGCTCAGTGGGGAGGTGCTCCCGTTGGACTTTGATACAGGCGCCACGGTAGCGGCAGCCGCCGCCTCCACCGGCTGTGGCATGGCGAGGTCGTCATGGGCGTTGATGCTCTTGCAGTAGCCGTTGGGCTTGGCGTGTCCGTTGGCTAGCACTCCATTTTTTTTCTGGAAGAGGTAAGATGGATAAGCCACACCGATTAGCATAGTTTCTTAAAATTTGCGATCATTATTATTAGTTTTAAGTTAAAACTAACTAACACGTTCTTAATCCCAATTAGTGTTGATTGAATGCAAATAAGGGAGTTAGTTAGTAGAACTCTCTTCGCAGGAAGTTTTCCTCTACTAAAGATGGTGCAATTACAAATTAGCCTTGGGCTAAATTAGTTCGTAATTCAATTCAAACCTTTTTTATTTGCTTCGGGGTCTATCTGATCCGGCATACTTTTCAACGGAAATGAAATAGAAATGAAAATGGAATGATAAGATAAAAGTGCTATGCCCTTGTGATCAAACCTTAAACATTTTAAAGCGCGCAGTCTAGACACTGCCCAAAAGCGTAATGATATTATTAAGTCAAAACGAATTTAGTACTAACGATTATTGCATTGTGAGGGCACTTCTGTAGTTATTTTTAAAAGGACAGTATAGGTACAGTTGTAAAAAAAAGTTTATTAATTTTAGCTGACTAATCTGGTTCTTTGAAATGATCTTGGATAGCCCCAAGCAGCCCTCAACTGTAATTATGCAATGATGGGCATCTTGACTGAATCTTTGTTCGTTTCTCTGGCTTTGTCCCTCTTTTGTTGCCTTGGTTGGTATTGTCTTTCGTTTAACTTTCACTCGCGGGCTTCAAAACTGTGAGCTCTGATGCTGTGTGTCGAAACGCTGCCAGTTAGCGGTATTTACCTCTACTCAGGGCTGGAGCAGCTGCTTCGAGACCGGCTCCCAAATTCCCAGAGACCTACATACATACTTGACGAAATCTTGTTAATGAATTTGGATCACAGCATCTCGCATATCGCGCATTTGTAATTGCCAGACCGCAAGGTGCAGTACAGGCAATGATGATATAACCGTATTTGCCTCACAGCTTCGAATCGCGGTGCTCAGATTAGCTATTCGTTTTCAATTTCATTAACACAGACCGGAATCTCAAACGCTGGTCGCGTCATACCACTCCGCAATGTGGGAAGCTCGAGCCCCGAATATCCGACTCATAATGACGGAGGGGACGCTTTGCGGCTCTTTGGTGACCTCGGTCAGCGATAAAAGGCCCGTTAGGGCCACTAATGTGGGAAAGTGTTTGTACTCTTTAGAGTCGTACTATGAGGTGAACTTAGACCTCATTTCCGGGGCGCACTTACCATCATGCGGCTCCTGTAAGCTGCTTTGTAGAACTCGTTGAACAGGAAGAAGAACATAACAGCGTGCATGCCAATCCACCAGACGAACGCCTTCGGGTAGTTGCAGTCGATGAAAAGCAACTGGAAGGCGTGCACCATGATCAGGATGAACTGGACCTGTTATGGCAGATGGTTAATATAGGACGTTATGGAATTTTGCATCGCAGCTTACCATCTGCAGGGTGGTTAGGTACTTCTTCCACCAGAGGTACTTCTGGTACTGTGGACCCATGGCAGAGAACATGTAGTAGGTGTACATCACAATGTGGACGAAGGTGTTCAGTAGACCGAAGAAGGTGCTGTGGCCACCTGGAGGAAATTTCGATAGTCAGGAGATGGACTGGAGCTTATCCCGTCATTGAGACTCACCCGGGGTGAATTTAACGCCGAACCAAACCGACATGGGCATGCAGCCGTGATGGATGACATGCAACGTGGTAACCTGGCTGGTCTTCTTACGCAACACGAAGAAAATCTGTGGCGAAGCACAACACGTTGATTTATTAATACCATTACCGAGCGCAGACTCTCAGGCGGCGCTTTGATCTGTCACTCACCGTATCCATGAATTCGGTGAACTTTGAGAAGTAGTACCACCAGCAAGCATGAACCATCTAATTCCGGAGCATGGGAAAGGAAATATTTAAATTAGCGGGGTTGTATTGGTGCTAGCTGTTGTTTATAAAATTTGTTTGAACTTAGAGTTGCGCCACCCTATTCAATCCGAGGAATAGTAGTAACTATAATCGGATTTTCATTGTTAAATCTGTTTGGAAGTTAAAATTCATTACATATTGAAGAGGGGCGCAGGCGTGCCGATTCGACCGGCAACAGATCTCAGCAAATCTCTGAAGCACTCATTATTGATCTTTTTATGAGCACTGTTAAATAATAATCAAAGTTCATTCAGAATCCTAAGCCATTATGTAAAAGTCTTAGAGGTCTTTATAGATTGTCAATCTGATTTTTAGTTAAGGATAAACGAAAGAAAGGGGTAATAACACTTAATAGAAAAGAAATTTCATTCAGTTCGATTGAAATGATAGGAATGTTAGAGATAGATATCTGTATGGAATTATATCAAAATAAGAGCTTTAGTTCACTGATAATGGAAACGTTGACACGTTATGCACGGTTTATATGTACATGCTAAGATCTGGGTTAGCATCCAACAGGTTTCACTGTTAGCAATCGTTTTTCTAGGACGCAAGCAACAGCCCTTAACCCCACCACATTGTAAATTGGGCAATTGGTGATATTATGATTCCTTGCCATGCAATTTCTATGTATATCTATGAGTAAATGTGCGTATGTTTATGATTATCTATAATAATTCGTGCACTCACACCACAATTCAAATAAAACGTCACCAGAATGCTTATCGTTATTTTGTTATCGTAATCGTTATCTTACTGCTCGTGGCGGTTAACACATACCCTTAACGTTCTAGGATTATTACTATAGTCGACTGGCTGACATCGGAAGCTATAATGTCCAGTTAGCCAACCGGAAATGCCTATCTGCAAATGTAGAGCACAAAAAGACACATTTATATCATCGCTCCGCTCTGATTTTCTTGGATGGTTCGTGATTCATGGTATTGGTATTGGCATCGTCACCGGATATTGGCTGTACTACCATGCTCGTTCAGGTCGATCGTTTGTTGAAAGCTCACTCAGCTGTTGGCTAATTGTACAGGTGCATGTTTGGCTATGTGCGGTGTTAGTGTGAGTAGAACAGCACTTAGATGGTATCAACTTATGCTAACCGCGATAAAATGATTATTTAAAGCAAAATTAATCACCGGTCTTAGCTGTAGCACTTATGTTTTTGTCTAGCATTTATATACAATACAGATCAGCAGCCATAACGGGTCAGGACAGGTGAATCCTGTACATGAGGTACGTTAGGGTACTTGGTTGTTCATATTAGTTAAAGCCAGTCGCACACATCTGGCGGCAGCGTCTTGGGCCGCCGAGAGTTATTTGTACGAGTATATGCTGTGGACAATACGTAGTTAATATAATGGAAACGACTACAAGGCGAGGCGTGGCTGGTTAATACTCCAAAAGCTTTGGCAAGGTCAGTGACCGAATCAATAACAATAAATTAGGGTTAGATTAAGCAAAAGCCGCGCTGAATTGCCTTTAATGAAGATATAGAATGCTACGCTAATGACTGCGGGAATTAGCGATTGCTCTGAAGTGGTTGGGTCAATATTGGGATCGCAGACACTTAAAAGTACTCTAGCGCAATGCCGTTCAGGACACTTACTCTCCGGGATGTTGGACTATCTGTGTAGTCCACCGGCTGGCACCGGAAGCTGTACGAGCCCCACCAGCCGCCCATCAAGCACTAGAACAGAGACATTAGTAGCAAATAGTAAGTTAAATTCGAGTAAGAAGCAGCATCCAAGAGCGCGCTGTTCCACGGTTCCGTCCAGCGACGATGCCATGCGTTAAATGAGTCTGCTAGAATGTTGGAAGAGGATATGGATGGGTTGGGTTTGGAATACCTACCTCGTAAAAGAGCCACGCGCTGAAAACAACCTGTATGGCATTGTACATGACTAGTGTGTTCTGCAGATGCAGCGGTTTTCGATTCTCCATTAATCGGGGTCCTAGCACCTGAGGGCGAGAAAATCAGCTGTTATATGATCGGCGGCAAACTTTGTTCTTGTTATCACTTATTGATAAGTCGGTTTGTGATAAGCAATAGTATCGTAAAGCGATCTTATGGCCTGGTCAGCCCACCTTCTTATCTTTGAGGGCGGCTACTACTTCAGAGAACCAAAATGTGTCAGCCATATTTTGGTAAATTAGCAATTAGATACGCACCTTGACCAGATAGACGTATGTGAGGCAAACGGCCAGTGTGGGGAACGGGGACGACATCATGGGCCAGCCTTTCGTCCTCGAGTCTGTAACAAAGTAAAGGCAAATAGTTAAATAAGTTACTATTGTTTCGCGGTTGCCCTCGTCTAGTACTAAAAACAGGGTCATCAGCAACTCGTGCAAGCACCTACATGTAGGATAAGCAGCTCCCGTTTTCTTATCACTCACAGTTGCTATTGACCCATATGTCATCCGCTGGCAACTTGGCAATAACACTTAGATAGTATCCTCATGGACTTTCTAACTACCATCTGTTGAACACAGAATTCGCCCTAAGCTACATAATCGCAGATATAAAACTAATTTTTATCTAACTAAATATCGAAACTAATAAGAAAAGAATTCAACAATTCAATTCAGCTATATAGTAATAGCTTTGGAGCAAATTCACTTTATAAGTACCTTACCATTTAGTTAATATCAAAATCACATATTTTTTAGAAACATATACCGGGTGTCCTCAAAAAAACCTGAATATAACTATGCATAGACAGCGAATAACTAATGTTGAAACATAATTTTAGCATGTTTCGCGCAGTCGTCTGAAATTGCATAGGATTTGTCATAACAGTCTCAGTTGGGTCGGAGTTATAACAAATTGTGTAAATGTGTAGATATATTCACACATACATGCACAATTCATAAGGTGTTTCAGCACGTGAATGGTATAATATTAAATCTTAAGAGAAATTTAGCTGGGAATCTTGACGATTGGAAGAGCCCCTGTGTCTCGTTCAAACATTTTTTGGCAGCACTGCCAATCGCTCTTGGCCAATTAGTGAAGTGGTGTCAAAAATTATTTATCTGCTGAGCCCTTTGCAGTTTTCAGAGAGAAAATAGAGGAAGAGACGCGACATTGAATTGTTTCCCATGTAGCGGCTGCTGCTGGTCACAGTCCACCAAAATCAAGGTTGGTCAAATTAGCGAATCGCCCCTCCCCCAAAGAAGTACTTACCACTATGTGAGTCTATGTATCTGCTTATGCTGTCGATGTATTTCATAATTAAGGCCATTGTGTTGCTGTGTAGTGATTTATGCTTCTGTCCTGTTGACAGTAGAGTGTTTCTGTCCGTTTACTTTGTAGTTGGTGTTCCTTGCTGATTGTACAAATGGTTTGGTGGTCTATAAAGTCTTGACTTTCAGATCTGAAAAAGGAGCAGAAGTCGGAAAATTGTTAATAAATTGTTGTAATTGTAAATTGTATTGCACACTATCGCTCCCACTTCACTTTTCAATAATAGATGTACAAAAAAGTATGGGGATCTATTTTTTTTCTCTACCAATTCCAATTAAAATTGTACCCAACGGCGTCCCATATCAGTCGACCTCAGCCCTCATTTAACATCATACACCTTTGAATAAGCCCCACATACCCAACCAGAAGAATCCATGTCGGAGACAGAAGCTCAATGAGGTTAATAAACTAAAGCCAAAAGCTGCTCTGTCAGCATTTGATCGGCAAATTTACATCTTGTTTATAATTGAACGTTCTCGTTTTGGGCTTCGCATTTTGTTTTCATTTATTTTTTTGGGCAAGCGGAATTCATAACTCTTATCGGTGGAGCAGTTATCTCAAATCGAAAATTTTTGTGAAAGCACTAGCTAGAACAGTGAACGTCAGTACTATAGTATGTGGTGTATGAGTAATATTCGTGGAAGTGTTTTGCCCAAAAAGTTCAAGGTCGTCAAACGAACACTTAGCACTTGACCAGTCTTTCTATATATTTCTCTCTTTGTCGGAAGTTTTCGGAAGTACTTCGAAACTGTTGACGATTACTGCCCAAATATGAGCTGCAGATTGTTGGAGCGACTGAATTACCGAAAGTATCAATAATATGATAATAATCAATTTATGCTATAAACATTTCGAAGTACATCGTTCGTCTCAATTAATCCGCATATACTCATTATAGAAGAATTTCAAGTGCTGAGCTTCATGTGCACATTACTCATTCGCCTCCTGGTACGCTATGCAAGAGAATCGTAAATTTTTAATACATGTTTAGTAAAGCTCGACAGCTTGTTGTCTTGTTGGTCACTGAAATGCAGGTGATAATTACAAAAACTAATAACATTGTAATGGGGTTTCTCGCAAAAAGGCAGGACACCATAAATCGCAATTAGCTCACTCCATCGACTGGTAATCAGGATAGGGAAATTTCCCAATCGAAAGGTAATGATGAATTTATTTAACATTAAGTGGCAAACAACATTGTCTACCTAAACTGAAGGCGGGTCCATCGTTCCTTACCAGCAAGCGAAACAAACAAACAAACACATTTGCCAAATAATAGCAACAACAGCGACAAGAAAGTAAACCAAGTCGACGCCACCGAAAAGCCAAATTTAAACTAATTCAAAGTCAAAACAAGGTAACGCCAGCGTAAAACGCTGTCAATAATTAAAGCTGAAAAGGGGTAGAGAATAGCAGGTGGACAAGGTCTTGCAATGGCTGCGCTTTGCTTCTTCTGATTTAAAAGGGCTCAGAGTAGTCGGCCACCCCTGGGAATAGCAGAAAACGCAAACCCGTCGAAACGATTCCAACAGCAGCGACTTAAAGCTATGCCAAAATATTGCTGTTTCATTGACCTGGTTTTGTTGTTTTCTGTTGCTTCTCCTCGACGTACGCCCACACATGAGCTGTTCCGGAAAGCATGAAGCAACACTGCACATATACTATATGAGCATGTAATGCGACACCAGATCCGACCATCGCATCCCATCCCCAAAGCTGGGCCATTCAGCAACACGCCGCTAAACCGGCGTCAGCCTAGGCGCCACGTTACCCCAATCTCATCACGTGATGTCGACTAAGGTTTCTCTTTGCCTCGAGCTTTTCCCTTCTCTCCTGCGCAAAGGCTCGTAACGCGTTTATTGAATGAAAAACGCAGCCACGAGAGCAAACTACCCGATTTGTGGCCCTCCGGGGTAGTTGGGAGTTGGTAGCAGGCATGTGGTTTGGGTGGAGGCGATACGGGCGGCGAATGTTGTCCGGGGTTGCGTGACTCACTCGACGCACCTCCGACTTCTTGGCCGGGCCAAAAACGCCGCCGAGAAAAGAGCGCTTAATGCCCGCCCAACACGCCATGAATGACGCCGAAGAGGCGCATGACGCTCGGTAGTTGTCACAGTTGTTGACACAATAATTTTTGAAGGAGGGCGGTATGTTCATCATACCCCCCTACACAGCCCCCTTAAACTACATTGAAGAAGGTGTAGCTAGGCTCCTGATATCGGATATTGATTTTCGCATCTAACGGACTTTTTTACCCACACCTTATCAACTCTCAGCAACTTGGCTTAAAGACAGGCTTGTCAGATTGGCAAATTGGCACGTAAGTAATTGATGTCAATGGTTAAGTGATGTTGACCCCAAGGTTTAGCCAGCAATAACAAACTTTGACATTTGTAGATCGAACTTTTGATGGCTGGGGATTGCCTCTCCAAACAGTCGCGTGTGTGGAGATTGCATCAGTACAGTCGATTCTTGAATGCCAAATTGAAATAAATGGCTTTTCAGTTCGGTAAATCTTACAAATACTCATTTGTATGCGCATTTGGCAGTCACTAAAATTTGAATTCCGATAAAAGGTTCAATCACTTTCACGAAAACAAAATGAATCGCGTCGCATATTTGCATACAATTAAATCATAATTAATTATCAAATATACTATGTAAACTTCGAGTTGTTCCAAAAACGCTGCTCAACGGTTGCTGCTCTCTTTGTGAGATACGATAGGGTTTCCGAAATATTTGTATACTCCAGCTCGGATCGCAGGAAACCGAATATATTACGACCAATTTTTCATTTCACTTCATCTCATCGAAGATAAACCATTCAAATTAATCTTGTATCCAGACAAACGATCGATTAAGTAAAATGTGCGATGTATTTACCTTGTTTGCGGCTCTTGATGGCTTTGTGCTGGATTTCAAAAGGCCAGGCCAACAACTAGAGGAGAGTACCGGGCGTTACTCCGGGAAAGCCCGTCTAAAACGCGAATTAGTGTTCAACAATTATTGCTGTAATTGTTGTAGAGCTGCGCCCATTGCTCGACTTATTGGGGCTTGCATTCCGGATTGCCACCGAGTCTTGAGTGTATACGAATGGCTCTAAAATGAGTCCTTTGAAACAAGGCTGGAGCTGGGATCGGGCTTTTTTGGAAACTCGGTTTTTGCGACGGGGCGAGTGGTGGAAGTGGGCAACGAGCGAGACAGAGGTGACCGTCGACAACGACTAGTGGAGAACGACTAACTGGCTGTCACGGCGACTGACGAGCTAAGGCCGCTGTGGCTCAGTCGCAGTCGATGTCTAAGTCTCAGTTGACGCTCGACGAGCTGAGCTTGTGAAGCGGGCAGAGGCATTGGCGTTGGCGTTGACGCTCACGTTTATGTTGATGCTGGTGGGCCATTACGAATTAATTTACATTTCTTTGCATAGATTTCCTTTGTGAACTGGAGAGAGGTGAGATGACCGTAAGATGTGGACCGTTTGGAGCTCTATTCGAGCATTTAATAGACAGCGACTCCGTCTGCAGGTGGAATTGGCAGTGCGTTGACTGGTAGACTCCCAGCGGAACCACTCCCTTCGATTGGGAAAGCCCGCTATTCGAAAAAGAGCTAACAGCCAAAGGCGCTGTCGCAAGAACGGAGCGCCGCTCGGCTTCGAATGAGGCAAGGGCCGCTGCTTGATCATGATCGATTTCAGTGGCAGGTGATGGCTCGCATACAAAATTAAAGCTCCGCACTTGTCGATCAATTAATTATTGCGGCACTTCACACATACGCGCAACGGGATGGACTGGGTTTTTTATGGCTTTCGGGTTTTCATTTCACGTTTCTCTTTTGCTTTTGGGACTTTTGCGCTCAAAATCGAATTCATGGTCAAACTGTTTACGAATATGTGTCGCCAAAAAAAAAACGCAGCAGCAAACAACGGGGTAACGAAGGCATCGGCCAACAACAGGTTGACCTGATGAAATGGAAATTGAAACGCGATTTGTATTTTGACGCAATCATTTATTTCGGCCTTTGTTATTTATTGGGTCGCCCAACTGAGAAGAATGTCATTTCATAATTTCGAAACGTAGCTGCCTCCGTTTTCTAAGCAGCCCACACAGTCCAAGAAAATATATAAATAAACTCAAACTTTCCTCATTTTCCAACTGGAATTCAAGTTTGCTGTGTTTTTATGTCCCCACAGTGCGACCTTCCTCTACTACCTTTTAGTCCGAATTCGTCTTGAAAAACAGCATTCGCGCAACGAAGAGGCAGTTGATTGAAATCAATCTACGTTGCTCAAGCATACTGGATGCGTGCGTTGGTTGCTTAGCTTTGTGTTAACACACTTTAAGATATAATGAGAGCTTTAATCTCAATGGCAAAACTTAGTGCATTTAATAAACTCATGTTTTATACATGTATTTGAATGTATGCATTCGGGGTCTCGGAGTGTATATGAATAAATAAATAATAACAAATCTGATGTTTAAATGTTTGGTCATTTGAAGTTCCCGCACTTTCTTTGAGTTTTCAACTTTTAGCAAATTTTGAGCACTTCTACCTGCTTGATTTCAAAATTTTTGTATACATCGTTGGGAAAACACCCAAAATTAATTTACTTCTGAAAATGTTGCATTATCATAAATTCGTATCGATCTTGTGGGTGGATCGAGTGGGTTATGGCGCCTCGAATGCGGCGTATTCAAACATATACCGCATCGGAGGTGGGTGGTACGGGACGAGCGTTTCCGCTAAACTGATTGATTCGAAAACACCAGATGCGACGGTGACTTGTTGAGGGGTCACTTTCTCTGCTTCTATGCGCTTTCGCGACCGCTCTCTTCCTATTCCGACTAAGAGCGGGGGTGCTAGCCAGAATAAGAGAGAGTGAGAGAGAGAGCGTTTCCTGCTTTTGGGTGCGAGCGGAATGTCTTGGAATTATGTCATATCTTTACACACATGCGTTACACCAACGTGACGATACTCGGCGCGTCGTACTTTTCATATCCGATGTCTAATAGTTTCTGCTTTCTGTTCTGTTTGTACTGCCCTGGGGCGACCTAATCTGGGATGGTCCGTTATCGCCCTTGATTAGCTGTTTAGTTTGCCTTTCCTGTCCGAAAAACAGACTATGTCGCAGGTAAGGGTAACTGATAACCGCAGGTGCCGCGGCGAGAACGAGAACGGGAGCGGGAACGGGACAACACTATGGTTTTTATTTTTTCATGCTAGCACTTAGGTCAATTAAAGTGGAAAAGCCGTGCAGCGGGGCTTATAATTGAGAGCAAGATGGTGGGAACCGAGGAAAGGGTGCTCCATTAACTGATTCCGCCTGACATGGCTGATTTATCATGGGTTGCACGAGAAAGTGAGTATTAATGGTGAACCGTTGTTTTCATTGGGCGGGGGATGAGATAAACACTGCGAACTTTTAGGGACGTAAGGCGACACTCAACGACGGTTACGTGGTTTCTGCTGGGAACAACCGACGCGAGGCACAAGGACACAAGGAAAAGCACGCACCAAACACTCCGCTTCGCTCGGAAAGCCAAAGACAGACACTCCAGTTGAATCGAATCGAATCGAATCCCAATCTAAACGGAATAACACTTTACTTTGAATTCGTTTTGCAGTGGTCGTATCTCGGCAGCAGACTAGGAATTCGGTGTGGAAATCGCTCTGGCTGACCCAAAAAGCGAACCACATAACAGCGACAGAGAAACGAGGTTTGAAGTTCGTGCGGTACACAGATATAATACAGCGTCGCTCTCTTTCAATGAAAATGTTAAGATACAACCACTATTCATGCATGCATAGATAAAAAACACAGCGTCGTAAAAAATGTGTGCCGTTCTCTTTTACGTTCTCCCGCTCTTTTTAACAGAAATGTTAAGATACAACTCTTTTCTAACAATGGCAACCCAAAGCGAAATGCGAACTGTGGTACGTTGCTCTAGCGAAGAGTGGGCAAACCCCGAAAGAGTCAAAGAGAGCCGGTCTGCTGTGTATGTGTATCTGCTAAATGTGGATGGCAAGCGACAAGAAGCAGACAGCCAGTGAAATGACCAAGCGGGCAAGAAGAAGCACCAGCTTTCGCATCGCCATTTACGCGCTCAGTGTTGCGTCACGCGCCGTCCAGCGAAAAACAGCAAAAGAGTTCACTCTCTCTTTTTGAACCGGCCAGATACATTTGTACATAGATTGGCGAAAAAAAATACCGGCTACCATTGCTACTTTAACTTTCTCTTACGCTGCTGATAACGAATGCGCGAGCCCCTCTTCAGAGCTCTCTTTATTGTTTTGCTACCAGGGTTGTCAACACTAGTGTTTACTAACCCAGACAGCTGCCGCCAAATTAAGTAACTGACGTGAGTGAGGCACGGCTCAAAAAGAACAGCTAGCACTGTCTAGCTACATATGTAATGTAGGTGATTGCATTATGTCATCACGAATAGGAGAGGCTAAACAAAACCACCTCCTTCCCTCACTTTGATTCTGCTAGTGCTTTAGCATTTCGTTTTTGGATTCAATTTTCGGTTTTCGCCTGCTCTCGATTTGTGTTTAAAGCCACCCCTTAACTAGACTTACGAGCAGCACCACCAACACAGAGAGGCGAAAGGGACATGGGTCACAGTGTTTAGTTTCTTTCTTTTGGTGCTACTTTCCAAGGTACTGAACCGGATATGATGTTACCCCTCCAACATTGCTAAAACACATGTCCATTGATTCGGAAAACTTGTTTAATTCGAAGCATTTTCTGGAGAAGTGTGTAGTGTCTTTTAAATAAATACAGAAATGCAGTAGTTTCTTTTCAACTGAAACTGTATATATTTTATGATTTTTCTTTGATTTCCTGTAGGATTGCTCAGCATTTTTGGCAATTTTTTCAGCAATTTTGGTTGTATAGAGAAGATATTTGCCATATTGCAAAACATTTTCGACAATGACATCCCATTTCTAGTTGCTCCTCGATTGCCCTGGCCGTACGTATTGGTACTGTAGCCCAAATTCAAAGCTATTCAAGTCGAAGAAGCCGAATTGCTACTCTACGTGATTGGGATGCTTAAATTACGCGATGGACAGCAGCGCCTGCGCCCTTGACTCACTTGTGTTGGCCTGGCCAAAAGCATGCACGGAATACATATGGCGACTGAACAGTCAGTGGCCGTTGGGACGGGCTTCGAATGGGATTGGGGGGCTGCCTATCATTAGGATTGCCATTATAGGGCTTCTGAGAGAATGTCGCGTCCGCCCACAGATCGGACAGACTCGCTAATTTAATTCATCATCCGCCGGGTTATAAGCTAGCTTTAATTGCCGGCTTTGTGGCCCCAACTAATGAAGTTGATGATGTTGATGCTGAAGCAACCGTTGGAGTTGTGCAGGCGTCATCGTAATATCTGGCTCTGATTTCGACGCCGCCGTTACAGTTACTCGACTGTGGCAACACTGTAACACCACTGTCATTTCATTTACGAATCTTAATAATCGATTTATATGCGCCGGCACACCAGTAGCCTTAGCGACCCAAGTCTGGCCACCTGAGAAATTAGAAGCACACAACACCTTCAATAGAATGGTTTCTCTATATGAGAGATAAACGTTTTTGGGGATCTGCCCAAATCAATTAAGAACTTTAACCCAACACCAAATGTAAGCTAGAACTGAACAATGCTTTTTTGCGGTCCTCATTAAAGCTGAAGCATACTTTTTATATAAGTCTTAATCAGCTCCTACTGGATCCTACCGGTAGGAGTTGGGAGGATCGTAGCTTTCATTCGATTCTACATTTTAAATACAATTTCCTAAACTTCCCGGATTTGTAAAAGTTTTCTATATTGTCCAGAAAAGAGAATTCTAAATGCGAATCATTTTACCAGAACCTTAAGCTTGGATATGGGGGTATCGGAATCTGAAACCCTTAGAGTAGACTTAACTTGTGGAACGGAGCCATTTGGCTTGAGCTTGACACGTTTAATTTTGACATGGTCAAACCAAAGCCCAAAAAATTGTGGACACTGGCCAGCGATAAAGTTGGGCCAATTGAACGTGGGCGTTGTTTTCGTTGTTTTCTTACGAAACCTGCGTCGTCGGAAAAGCTTTTGCGCATGCGTAGCTGCGCTTTGTTAATATCTTCTCCCCTGCCATCGATTGTCTGCCTCCACAAGTTCGTTATGGTTATTTATGCCGGCTTTTTATTTATTTATTGGCTATTTATGTTGCGCAATAATGAAATATTAATTGGATGTTTAAAAATGTTTTAATC